ATGTGAACACAAAATGTAGCACAGGAAGCGGGTCAGTCTCGCTCGATGTTCAGGGTCCAACGGCTTGTTCAAGATAAACCATCCCTCTAAGCTGCAGCTATCCAGAACCAATTTTTCTCGAGGCGCCAAGAATGTAGCATCAGGGGCCAAAGAAGAGCCCACCTAACATGCTGTTTTATTTCATGGGAACATTTAGGTACGGTGGCTGTCTATGGATTAAGCGCTCCTACGCGACCCATCCCGTTTACTTCTTTCTCCCCTTCCTCTTGTTGGCCTTGGCTCCCTGCTGGGCGCCAGAGGCCTTGGCCTTGTTCAGCGAGTCGGTGCTCTTGTCGAGAATCTCAAAGTCCTCGCCCGCGGAGTCGGTGCTCGGGGTGCGCTGGGGTACGTCAGACTCATCGTCATTAACAAGGACATCGATCTCAAGGTCGACGGGCTTCTTGGGAAGAAAACGGCCGACAGTCAAGTTGAAGAGCCAGATGGGGGCGCGAACAACAGCAGTGTCCTTGAAGGTAGGTTTGGCAAGCTCGTTTGGCTGTATCGTGTTAGCGCTCCGGTCACGAGGGTAAAATCAAGACTGGAAAGCAGGGACTTACATCAAGGAGAAACTCGTTGACGTTGCCATCTTCATCCTCCTCCTCCAGGTACACATCACCGAGAGAGTCAACGACAAGGATCTTACCATTCTCGGCGACGACCCTCTTTCGCGCACCAGATGGCGCAGAAGGGCCAGCAGAAGCTTCCCTCGACAATGCCTGGGCCTTGCGGCCCTTCTTTCCTGCAGGTTTCGTACCCTCCTTCTTGGTCTCCTTCTCCTGCATTCTCCTCTGTCGTCGGTTCATGGGCTGAGGCGGGCCATCCTCATCTTCGGAGGGCAGCGCGGGGGCAGGCTCGGGTACAGGGGCAGGCTCGGCGCCGGGGATGTTGAAACCTCCGCCCCAGGCAGTATCCCTCGCGAACTTGATGTAGCGCTGGATAAACTCCTTCTGGCGCTTCCAGCTCATGAACATGATGTAATAATGGACACCTCCGCCCATGACGAGGAACAGGCCGACGATGACCGTTCCCAGGCCGGGACGGTATCGGTTGTAGTAATAGTCGGTACCCTTCCAAAGAGGGAAGCCATTGCTGAGGAAGTGGTCGTAACGTTCGCGCTCGGGGCCGCGCAGAATGTTGACGATGAGGGAGAGGCGGGCCTGGGCCTCGCTGGCCTTCTTGACGGCTGTCTTAATCTGGGCAGGAGTAGGGGGCTTGATGTTAACACCCGCCTTCTTGTCGCTGGCGCGGTCATTCTTGAGCTTCTGCTTGACCTTGTCGGGATGAAGAGAGCGAGTCATCTTGCGGTAGGCCTTGGTGATGTCGTCCTGGGAAGCGGAGGGAGAGACGCCGATGATGTCGTAGAAGGTGGTGGAGGGATCGGTCTGGTAAGCCATGATTTCATCTCGAATGCGGAAGATTTCGCGATCTGGTAGCAAGCTCGAGGTCAGCTATAGGGTCGGAGAGGATTGTCTCGTCATTGTTCGCGACCTGAATAAGGAGCGCGAACAGGGACGCGATCGCGGACACAATCGTGGACGTGGACGAACCTTCTTTGCTCCATGCTGCTGTCAGCGGGCTCAGCAGGGCCAAGAGCCCAACGGAAAGGAACGAGATCTTCATCTTCGCATGATACGTATGCCCCAAGGTCGTAAGCGTGCCAGTGTCTCTGCAACGACTGCAACTAACAGGCAAGCAAGCAACCGGATCGGAAGGCCAGCTGTTGGGACGCAGACGGTCGGCAGGACTGGAAGAAACAAGAAAAAACTCGGGTCCGCGCCGGGCAGTGTTTTGCTTGGAGAAGGAGAAAAAAGCCCGAAGAACTGCGACTGGTCGTGAAGAAGTCGTGGCCACTTGATGGACGGACCCCTTGCGTTCCATTTAAGCCTTTGCGACAGGGGGGTACCTACCTAACCTAATGCACGAAGAGGCCAGCGCGACAAGGGAGCTACCCTGGAGCTTCACCAGGCACGGAAGATTTCCTCTCCAAAGCCGGATTGAAAGCTGACGCCACACGCGCGGTTTACTAGGATCATGCCGTTACTTCAAGTGTATTCCTACTGTAGACTAGCAAGTAGGAAACCCCGGAGCTACCCATGATTCATCCCGAGCAAGCCGTGATTAGGTACGAAATACAGTCTACCTGTGTCGCTGCTGTGGCACAGCGCAAAAGCCTAGGTGGAACGTCCAACGCCCGAGAAGATAGACTACACGGAAGCATAATTTGAATCACACGCTCCCCGAGTAACAGAACACGTCACACGTCAATAAGAATTGTCACGTAACTAGCTTTTCCAATTTATGAGCATCCTTGACCTTTTGCGAAAGAGCGTGACCATCCGCCAAATATCGATGATGCGACCATCCTCACGTACTTCGTACCTTAGTGGGAGAGTGCTAGACAGGAACACGATTGAGACGACTCAGCTTGCTTTCCTTTCCTGCAGTCAGGTGAGCACTCCAATGTGACGAACTGACAAGGCGCATTGTGATCGTGTCATCAATGAGTACTCACAAAATTCTCCGGATCACATCTTGTACTCCCTTCATAAGTTAGAAAAGTCGAGCGTCGGTAACGAAGCCACAGGCTCTCGGACTCTCCACCAACAATGCAATAGTTTTCATTTCTTTTTATTCCATCGACATCTGGGACACATGCCACGCGAGTCTGGGGAACCACAGATCTATTGGCAGAAACCAGGGTTGAAGTAAAATTATCCAGCCATGACTTTGCCCCTCTCATCCAGTTGTGTATGCTTTTGGTGAACCCACCAGAGCTATCACCAGCCGAGTCACCTGGTGGCGACAACTGAGACGGCTGATCGCTAGAGCCAACACGGCTTAGTCCAGACTGCTTGCGTACTGCTGAACTCCCAGCCCCTTCCTTACCTTGTTTCTAATCAGCCATTGTGGTGTCCAGGTTGCAACTCGGGAGCGTCATTTGTCAATTTGTCAGAGGCTGAGTTGAAACGAGGCGTTGCCAAGTAAAGAAAGCCTCAGCCAGGAAAGCTCAAGGGTGCACATTGACCACGAGCTCTTGCCAATGGTTAGTCACTACAGCATCCTCCCTGGTGAAGTCCAGATGACCACAGCCCAGCCATGAAAACCGAGCTGAATGGGAGCTGAAAAATCCGGTTACGCATTATGATTCAGGTTCGCTAATAGGTATGAGACACTCAGCCTTATTTTCGTTGCTTTTTGTGTCGTCATTATTTTGTGTCCAGACTCTGTTAGCGAGAGCTGAGCACCGCCACGGATCGGCTGTTTACTACCGTGAGTGTTCATCGTTCTCTCAGCCATTGAGCCTTGTCCATGACTGACCCCCTATAAGAGCCGGACCTGTCCTACGTTGAAGAAGCCGTCTCTTTGCCGCTATTAAGCAGCCCGACTTTGCGTATACCCGAATTCTTAGAAAGAAGTACCGGAACAATCATGGATAGTCAACCAATGGACACTCAATCCATCATTCACGCGGCTCAAAACGCTTCGAACAACCCCTGGAGCGGCAAGATCTTCTTCGCCAATCCTGGCTGGGCCGAAAAGCTGGAACCAACTTACAACCTATTCAAGCAGCTAGGAGATGAAAACAACGCTGCCAAAGTCAGAGTCCTCCAGAACACCGGCACCTTTGTATGGATCTCCAGCATCGGAAACCTCCCCGACATCGACACGGCCATTCAATCCGCCCGCGCTAAGGAGGCGGAAACAGGACAGCAGCAAATCGTCGGCTTGGTTCTCTACAACATACCGGGTCGGGACTACAGCGGAGGATCCAGCCCGAATAACATCCCCGCCACGGAGGAGGGCTTGCAGCGATACAAGGACCACTTCGTCAAACCTTTTGCTGCAAAGGTCGCTGCGGTCCCGGATCTGAACTTCGCCATCATCCTCGAGCCAGACGTCTTGGGGAATCTCGTCACGGTCAAGGACCCTTACTTCAAGCAGAATGTTGCCCATTTCTACGAAAGGGGCACCGCGTACTCCATCATGTCGCTGCAGTTCACACACGTCAGTCTGTACCTGGACACGGCGAACGGTGGATGGGTTGGCTGGGACGACGCTCTTGAGCCCGGTGAGTACCATCTTAGCATCATGGGGATCTCTGTCACTAAATCCACGATAGCTGCAAAGCAACTTGCTAGAATCCTCAAGAGAGCTCGAGACCATTCCTCGAATCGCACCAAGATCAGGGGTTTCTCGACCAATGTCTCCAACTTCAACCCATTCAACGCCGAAATACCCGAACCGTACACTCAGGGTTCTAGATCATCGGATGAGTCCCGTTTCATCGAGGCGCTTGTCCCGTATCTCAAAAAACAAGGGTTGCCGCTACATTTCATCGTCGACCAGAGCCGCGTCGCTCTGCCAGGTGCCCGAGCCACCTGGGGAGCCTTTGGCAACGTTCACCCTGCGAAATTCGGGTTACGCCCTGGCACGCGTGTCGATAACAAATATGTTGACCAGATCGTTTGGGTGAAGCCTGCGGGAGAAAGTGATGGGAATGGTCCAGATATGGAATGGTCAGGAGCACCAGAGGCAGGAGCGTGGTTTCCTGAGTATGTTGAGATGATGGTCAGGAACAGTGAATTTTGAGAAGTCCTCGCTCGTATGGCGGGAACTATCACCAATGCATTTTGCCAACGAGTTCCAATGATTCATGAGGGATTCGCTGGTTGATGTTTGATACTATGTTCACCGACGCCAGCAATATATATTTCTTTTTACGTTGTTCGGTGTGTCGCTTTGACTCTAGGCCTGTCACGGCCACAAAGCTACCTAATGCTGGATGACTCACAGCTCCATGACTTTGCGCTCACGACCTGTTAAGTTACAATAATCGTCACATCGCTGAGCATATTCCAAGCAAAAAGAAGGGGCTCACAAATGCAAAACAAAACAAAAAAAAACAGATTTGCTAGCAATTGCACGTTTCGATCGTGCGACTGATTTACTGCGTTAGTGATCGTTTCTTTGTCTGGAGTCGAAGCTCGTGCTTACCCTCCGGGTTATGAGCCCGGCGCGCTTCCACTGCGCCAAATTGCTTTGTTGCCGTTGGGGGTGTAGCTACTATTACCTTACTTACCGGCATGTGCGCTTGTGCTTGGTGGGGGGATGTGAGGCTCAGCTGGAGATCCATCCATACCTACTGGTCCGTCTCCAGCGGAGGGTTCATCACATGCGTATCTCGTCCATCTTTCATTTCTTACATTTCTGAACAACGCGTTTCTTATGTCTCAATTTCCAAGAGCTTGGAACATGCACAAGGAACATATGGTGATGATGAGTCGACCCCTCATTCACCCCTCCTCGTTACCAAACGGACGGTACGCCGCCGAGATATCAACCTTGGATACGCATTCAAACTATATAGCCAAAGTCAAGGGATACCCTCCGTTCTTCAGGCATAATTGACCATTTCCGAGTATCATCACATTCAAGTGCCGAGAGCGAACCGTGATCTTCACTCTCTTCCACAAGCCTGCCGCTATTATCTAGGGCGGGGTTAAACCCCCACCAAGAAAGTGCCCCGCCGCACAGCAACGGTGTCGTGCCAATATCAGTGGAAAGACGGCCAAACGCTTCCATCAGCAACAAAGCAATTTGGCGCAGTGGAAGCGCGGTATGTTCATACCATAATTGTCAACCATCTTGAACCATTACTAATTCCCTTCTTAGCCGGGCTCATAACCCGGAGGGTACGTCTCACATTCGAGTCTGATGTCAACCACCAGCAGTAACTGACTCCATCTTCAGTCGCACGATCGAAACGTGCAATTGCTAGGCAATTAACCATCTTACAAGGTGTCTCTCTTTTTTTGCAATTTTGGTCGATTTGGATTATGAGTTTTTGTTCTGGGCTCAACCTTGCAGATACCGTAGGAAGCGAGATGTATCAGTCCCACGTAAGAAGACAGATGCCGATCTCCACATCATTGGCCAGGAGTAGAGTAAGGAACGTCTTTAGAACATCCACGATTGCCTTCCATCCTTTTTAATATTCACTTCCGGTTACCGCCCCATAAACAAAAAGCCACGGCCTCATTTCTCGGAACTGGGTTCTGGCAAAAAAAGAATATGCTAGCAATTGCACGTTTCGATCGTGCGACTTGAGTTGCTGTTAGTTGATGTTCCTGCACTTTGATGGTTGGAGGTGCTTACCCTCCGGGTTATGAGCCCGGCTGGGATGACTTAGTTACGTTCGAACATGAATCTTAAGGATTCTATCCTAGTGTAGACATACCGCGCTTCCACTGCGCCAAATTGCTTTGATGCTTGAAGTAGACCCACGATTGTTGCTACTTATGCACCCGAGGGGATTCCCCGTGGAGTACAGTTGAGGCATCGTCGGATCCGGACCAGCATGGCAAAACAATAAACTCCTGGCATCACTATCTCACAGTTGGCACAGGTCCTAGATGTTTACAATACAGACACTTAAAATTACTATAGACGTGGAAGTATCTAGACTAAGGAAAGGCAGGGCCCGATTCGAGGGATGTAACTGATACGGAATGAGGTTGTGTGGATGGTCCGCTGTGATTGGCCTCATAAAAGTCCTTCGAGTGTGACTCACTGACGACTTGCGATTGCGGAACAACACAAGCACTGCTCTAGTCACACTGATGGTCTCTAGAAAGATAAACAAGCTGAGGACACAAAAAGTCTCAAAAATACCAAAATTGAAATAACACAATCCAAAAAAAGGCCCCAAAAAAAGTTGTGCTAGCAATTGCACGTTTCGATCGTGCGACTGATTTGCTTGTTAGTCGACAAGCCAAGGTCTGAAGGTCGAAGGATAGGCTTACCCTCCGGGTTATGAGCCCGGCTAAGAAGGGAATTAGTAATGGTTCAAGATGGTTGACAATTATGGTATGAACATACCGCGCTTCCACTGCGCCAAATTGCTTTGTTGCTGATGAAATTTCGACCGCTAAACAACTATTATCAGTATGCGCGAGCTTTGCCCTAGCCCTCGGCGGAGACATTCACGTGTGGGGCATTCATGGCTACGACTCACTCAATTAACCACGACGGTGCTTTGACTGTAGTGAGTCACAGTGCAAAATATGTAGTACGTTTCTACATGGATCAATGCATTCGATGCGTTGTGAACTCGAACCGTCAACAAAAGTTATATTGTTCGCGTGATATTTGCTGCAATGCCATAGAGCCCCTGTCAACCAGAGGTCCGTGACTTTAGACTACCCGGGACACGTTGAGTTTGCTGACGACGCGAATTGCCGGTGGACTTTTCCCGACACGGCAAGCTATTCCACGTATTCCCAGTTAGCCATCTCGTCTCTTTAGACTTCCTGCTTATGCATTGGGCTTGATCTGGCACCGCAATGCCTTGACTGTGGCGATTGCGTTCATGTCGTGACTCAACGGGAGTGTTGTTGAAGGATGGGTTGAGCTCAGCGTTGCATCGCAAGTAGTGACAAGTGGCCGACATAATAAGCGAACCAAAGTATGAGAAAAAAGATCCTAGCATGGCTCCAGAATACGCAATGCCACCTGCTGGATAGTTTAGTGTTCATGCCCGAGAGTATCAGTTTTCACAACTCATTGAGGGGCTCTACGGTACAGAATGTCTTGCTGGTTGAGGCGGAAAATGAATTACACAGAACGACGAGGACGAACGGAGCTTTTTGAGCGAGCGAGCTGGTCCGTGGTTGGTCGGTTATCGGCGGGTTGGGGCTGTTTGTTCGACGTTAGTGCATCGCTCCGCACCGCTCCGCACCGCTCCGCACCGCACCTACCGCTGCCCCGCCAAGCGCACCCTTAAAACCGCCACAAGCGTAGGTACTTTGCACAGTGTATGAAGTATAGATAAGTATGGATGCAATTGCATAGATGTTGAAAAGTTGAGTAAGTCAAGATAGAAATTGACTGAATGGATGGAGTGTCTGTCAATCATCAAGAGTGTTGCTAATGGAACAACGCCCATTTGGTATACCTTAGACTACCTGACCGTGGATCAACCACCTGTAGATGCACTGACATTTCCAACCCACCAGCTTCCCCTAGCTTAGGCACCGAGACCTCAAGCACTACAGACCTGAAATGGATATCCTTTAACTCAATGCGGTAAGGCATCGCATGTACACGCCCGTTATTACCCAAACATCGACTCATCAAGGCAAACTTATGCCAGCAGCGTTTGGGTCCCAGAAGACAACGACTCCCATTCCCACCCGTTCGCCGACTGGGATTGATGCGAAGCGTCGTACGCAGGACCGCAAGACGCAAGCATTAATTAGCACTAACTAGCAGGTCTTACCTGTCGCTACACTGATTACAGTGAGTGGTGCTTTTTTGCATTAGCGCCGTGGAGCCCCGTGCGCTCCCCCGGCTCCCCTCCAATCCGCTCCCGTCCAGCCACTCGAATTTACGGTGAAGGACCCTCAGCTCAGCTCCCGTCCCGTTATTTCGCCCCCTCTCTGGACTGACTTGCATCTGGCATCCTGCACAGTCCAGTTGCTGCATACCGCAAGCATCTCGCGACCGGCACTTCTCCTCCCTCGCACAATTCTTCGACACAGAGGATAAAGAAAGAACGTGAGAGAGAGAGAAGCCGGACCGGGGATATAATTCATATATCCCATCCGCTGTGCGACTGACATTTTCATTCATTCATCCACTCTTCAATTGACCTCTTCTCTCCCTCCTCCACTCGAACAAGAAAGCACGGGGAAAGACGAAGTCCCACAGCCCTGGGCGCATCCGCAACCACAACCGCAATCATGGGCTTCCTCGACTCCTTCAACGACGGCGGCTCCGTCATCTCCGGCCGCTCTGGCCACCATCATCGCAAATCCTCCTCCCGCCATCACCACAAGAAGCGCTCCCGGTCACGCTCCAGCTCCCCCCACCGTCGCAGCAGCGGCCGCTCCATCGCTGGCTCGTTCTTCGGCGGCGGCGGCGACCGTGACCGCGATCGCGACCGCCATGACAAGCACAGCTCGTCCCGCGGTTCCTTCTTCGGGCTCGGTGGCAATAATAGCCGATCCAGCTTCTTCGGCAACAGTACGTTTCCCTCCTCAACCTCCTTTCAGCCGCCCTTGTGTCTTGCAAGCATCATCATGTCTCCCATGTGGAATGCCCCCCAGCCATGGCGCCATGACCATGAGACAAGAAATCCCCCGCCAATTGATGACATCCGCTGACCGCTGCGCGCCCATAGACCGTTCGTCCTACTACAAGCGCTCACCGCGGCAAGGCTTCATCCAAAAGTCGTACAAGCAAGTCAAACGGCTGCTGCGCGACCTAGTCCATTGGGCTAAGCGCCACCCCTGGAAGGTGTTTTTCCTCGTTATCATGCCTCTCATCACTGGCGGCTTCCTGACGGCCCTGCTCGCTCGCTTCGGCCTACGCATCCCCCCGGTCATCGAGCGCATGCTCAGTACCGCCTCCAAGGCCGCCTCAGGCGACTCCGTCGGCCTCGTTGGCGATGCTGTCCGCATGGCCTCTGGCGGCTTCGGCGGTGGCGCCTCCTCCGTCCGCATGGAGCGCGAGGAGCGCAGCTTTACCACCGGTGGCGACGACAGCTGGGGCAGCGGCTTAGTCGGTGGTGGCTTGGTCGGCATGGCCAAGAAATTTATGTGACCGGAATGTAATGTGCGAGACGAAGAGAAAGAGTGCCTTTCTTGATCTTAGACACGTGTTTTGGAAATTGTGGGCGTTTTGGATGGCATCCTTGGTTACCTTGCTTCATATCCTTTTCTGCTGGGTACCTACTCTCATGCTTGCCTGGCCTGAGTACGCCCTTGCTTCCCACCGACGGATATTATTACTACGTAAAATCAGACATACCAGATAGAACCTGCACGGAATTGATGAATGATGAATTATTTAGATTGCAAGTAACCCAAGTCCGTTCAACATGAAACGTGACACCGCACACCCTCTCACGTTGCGGATGGATGGGAAGGCTTGTTTCAGCACTATGTTCATTAATAGTCTGTATCCATCAACCAGGCTGCAGCCAGCTATTCCACCCTTGCTTGACATTCAAGTGCTTACCTAATCTACTCTACCCGAT